ACCGTTGAATTTTATTTAGTTAAATAATTGTAGATTAAAATTCTATTTAACAAAGTGTATTAAATAAAAATTCATGTGACCTTAAATAACAGATCAGCTTCTTTCTAACTTGTAATTTCCAAAAATCAGACATTGTTCATTAAATAATATCTAAAAACATACGAATCTCTAAAAAGAATAAAAAAAGATAAAATAAAATAAAATAAAATTATAAATGTTGCTWAGCGTAATTAATTTAATCCAAACTATCACAATTATGGCAACACACAAGCACACACATGCGCACTGAACACTATTATTAGTGTTAGTAAAATAATCTGTCAGCAGCACCTGTACTGGAAACGTTTTGTTAAATTTACATAAAGTTTATAGAAGAACAAAAGGTTACCAGGGATAGTTTTCTGAAACTCAGCGTATCTAAAATTCCCCTGCTTTCGTCATGACGTCAGAAGAGTTAAAAAATAYTTAAAAGTATTCATTCAGATCTCCGTTTTCTTTGTTGCAGTTTATGCATGTTTTAAACCTGAATGCTAATCTTTTTCTTAAATCGATTTAAATGTATTTTTTGTATATMTGTTTGAAATGATGTCAACATGTTTCCTCTGCATGATTTAGTTTTACAWCTATAAAACACAGATTCTTCCAATATTCGTGTTCATGAAGTCAAATGTGGGTTTGCATGTTGGGGGTCTGACATGAACAACCAGGAAGCTCATCCATCCTGTCCTGGTCCTTAAGCTTCAATCCTCGTTAAAATATCTGTTTTTTTTTCCTTTGTGACACTTCTCAGTGGGCTCTGCTTTCTCTTCACCGTCCAATCATCCAATGGACGCTCCTCTCTGAGTCTCGTGGGCTTGTTGCGTCAGCCTGGTGTTGTTGGGATGAAACCGGGCTTGTGGCTGATTCCAGGGGGTCTCCGTCTCTGAGCTGCATCATCACTGAAAGGTGAAGCTCAGAGGACCATGAGTGCACGTGTCACACAGGTGAATTAGCTGCGGCTGTGTTCAGGAGACAGAGGAGGCAGAGCAGGACAAAGTGCGGCACTCAGCAGCTCCATGCGCCAAACACGCAGAGTTTAAAGGGAAGGAGCCGAACGGAGGTGTCAGCCCGGGATAAGACGCGCATATGACATCCTGTCTGGTTCTGACTCCTCGCTGGGCAGCAGAACCCGTCATGTTCGTGTATGACAACAACCTGGACGACCTGAACAGGAGCATGGAGGGGCTGGTGGGCAGCGGGAACTTCCAGTGCCGCAACATCATGGCGCATTCGGCGGCTTTCGGGGGCCACCCCTCCAGCGTGGCGCACTCCTCCGCCACCGCCGGCTGCTCCTCGGTCGACGGGTCCGCTTCCTCGGGCTCCAGCGAGACTCCTGCTGGATCTTCAGGAAAACCGTCTGCGGGAGCCGGACCGTGCGCGGGAACCGCCGTGCCGCACCAACCCCCCTCAAGTGCGGCCGCCTTGCCGTACAGCTACTTCGGGAACGGTTACTATCCCTGCATGATGGGCCGCGGCTCTCTCAAGTCCGGCCCCCAGGCTGGCGGAGCCGCGCTCAGCTCGCAGTACATGGACACCACGATGAGTTCGGACGAGTACCCGAACCACCGGGCAAAGGAGTTCGCCTTTTACCACGGCTACGCCGGTCCTTACCAGTCCGTGGCCAGTTACCTGGACGTGTCGGTGGTCCAAACGCTGGGAGCCGAGCCGCGCCACGACACCCTGCTCCCCATGGACAGCTACCAGCCCTGGGCCCTGACCAACAGCTGGGGGGGACAGATGTACTGCTCCAAAGACCAGGCTCAGGCTGGACACCTCTGGAAGTCCGCTCTGGCTGGTAATCTGAACTGGTTTCTGCTTTTCTTTCACAACAACCTGTCTGAGAGGAGCGTGTTTCCACACACAGTTTYTTATCCTGTTTAGTGAAATTGTTTMATTTGCAKCATATTAGCAGCCTGTCTGTAAGAATATTAATATAGCCACAATAAAGAAATAACTCATAATATAGCTGCTAAAATCTTAATGTCACGAGCTGCCTGAGGTCAGCTGGAAGAGTTACATCTGCTTATGGTTTGTTGTAAGATGGGTTATTAAAATGAATAAAAAATTATCTCCTCATCTGCTATTATTATTA